TGAATTTTTTCAGTTTCTCAACTGCTTTCTTCCTTGCATCAACGGTAGGATATTTAATGTTAAATGACACGTGCTTTCTTGTGAAGAGTCTCTCTCAATTTGACTTCTTGTTATGCGCGAAATTCTCCTTACAAATAAGACATGTCGGAAGTGCATTCAAGTCTTGAACTCAACTCCAAATTCGCGGTTTTGATCTTCCGTTTGTCATTGCTTTTAAAGTTAAAACTTAACCACAAGATTATACATGTTCTCGATTTATAGAAGAGTTTTAATTTATCCAAATAAGATGTAATTTTGTTTTTACCAAGTTTTTTTTAAATGAAAATATTATTGTGCCTTTCGTGGATATTTGTACCAGAGTCGCACTTTGCCGATCTCTGACCTAGCTTATACACATTAAGCACTTTGACTTAATTCAAACTTTTGCTTTTTTCTATATTCGACTTTAAAACTAATCATGTCTGATTAAATGTTACCTATAACATTTGACTACCGTACCCGTATCATGTTATAACATGATATATATTTCATTCAATACTTTTGTCAAACCCGTTTTAGTAGGGCTTTTATAAATGCACCAAATATGAAATTCGCTATAAACGGATTTCGCAAAACCATTATTTTCTGCTTTGACCTTTTTACCGAAACTGAGGATCTAATCCCACTGACGCCCAAAGCAATGAGACTCCATCAGTACATGCTGTTCTTCGTCCAGCAGAGCATTTACAAACAGGCGACATTTTATTTATATTCGTTACTTTGTAAAAAGCACCAAATGAAAATTTTTTTCACGATGCCAATAAAAACTCATAATTTCTCTGCTTATCTCTAGTTGCTTTACCTATAGAGGTAAACCCGCAAAATCAATTTTAACTGTATATGAAAAGCTCCTTTTCAAAGTGCAGAAAGTCCATTTTTAATGATTAGTTAGGACACGATAAATGGCTATGAATCCTACAGCCTTCAACTGTATTTTTTGGTGCCAATGTATATGCATGTTGGATGTTGCTGCATAAAATACAACATTTTATAAATGCGGATTAATGTCATTTCGAAACAACATTTATTTTTTTTAACAGTAACAGAAGACCATTAAAAACAAAAAATATTGTGAAACGCTAGTTTTTTCTGGTTCTTCTTGAATGCAATCGTAGGTTTGAAGTTTTTCGGCTCCCGCACGTTCTTTAGTGGACTCAAAGTAGCCCATGAGCACCTAAAATTCCAAGTTTCCATCAAAGCGCCAGTTTGAGCGGAAAGCAGCGATTATAAAGACGGTTTTGTTTTTTCCAGCAGAGGTTTACTGATTTTCTAATTTTCCATTTTTCGCTTAAGTGACTAACAAATATTGGTTAAAAAATTTCCTCTTTTCAAAATATTTTTTGGTTTCTTCGATGGGACTTAGTTTTTCTTTTAATTATGTTGACATGGAACTGTCAAGTATACTAAGTTTAGGTCTACAGATGCATATACGCTCTGGTCTAGAAAGAAAGGCAGTGCAATTACGACATAAAATAAAATAATCTAGAATTTAAGCACTTCTACTACAGTCGTACCTAGAACTAATCCAACATAGAACGACTCTCAGAGTGCGCAAGATCTGTTGAAATAGACTGCAAGGAATTAAGCTAAAATTCGCTGACAAAATCTTCAATCAATCCCAAATTGTATGCAAACGCAGAAGTAGCGGAACAAATGCTCGGCTATTGAAGGGCGAAAGAGCATCAAGCATAGATAACCTCGGTGACATGTGCATAAAGCAACGATAAGCTCAAAAGCAACTAGGTTGGTGCTTGCTCATGAGTGAGGCCATCAGAATGTATTTAGGGGGCATAACATAAGTTGCTATAAAATTGCCTTCGAAATATCTATAAATAGAGATGATAACCAAAGTGATTGTTCTAGCAGTTATAAGAGACGATATTATGCAGATAAAATAAATTGGCATGAGTTAAATCAATTTGCAACGTAAACTTATTAGCACAGTTCATACGAATATTGAAACAATTTAACGATCTTGAAGAAATTGTGATGATGATTTCCAGAAAATCAAGATTCTGTCCCTTTTATGTTATTTTCTACGTCAGCAAATTTAACATGCTAATACTAACTGTACAACTTTAATTACCCAAATAATATCTAATTGGATTCTACAAACTCGAGTTGTAACAATGGTTTAGTTTTGTGGAAAAATAATTGTCTTAATCGAGGTAATTGTCAAGAGTTTGAATCAACTATGCATTTTATTTTTAATTGACGCTCTCGTGAAAGCGATTGAATTTACTTATAATTGGACGAAACAAAAATGTATTAAATGAAATTAACTTTCACATTAGTTTCGATAAAAATTTGAAATGTTTTAAACACGAACAAGTTTTGGCCAGTGTCATTTACAAGCGACATCCAACTGAAGAGGGCTAGTAGGTCCAAAATCGGTTATGGAGAGTGCTTGTTTGTGACACAGTCAAAAAATAATAATTTCAAGCATATTTTTAATGTTATTGAAAGAAAATCGTTAAAATATCTGGATGAAGAAATGGAAAAAATATATCTGATGATAGCTTTCTATACGTCTTCAGCATTTGCAACAGGTGTGTTGAAATAACAACCAAAGCAAACAATGATACCTAATATTCTTGTGGTTTGCAATTTGTTAGATAGAGATTATTTTTGAACATAAAATTTTCGATTTCTTATGAATTAGTTATCAAAACTAGATCGAATATTTCATCACTTAAAAAATACGTTCACTAACTATTATACATATATCTTGGGCTCCACAATATCACTAGCAGTTTTCGATTTATATTAAACATGTAAGAAGACAAATTTTGAGTTAGAAGAAACCAAGTTTTGAGGAAATAGGAGCCACTCTTGTAATTAAATAGAGAAAATATGGATGATTATGCTGATATTATCGATCTTCCAATGTCCTGCATTTTAGCAAGATTTCAATAGAAAAAATATTTTTGTCCTCAGGAGAAATATTCAATAAATTGTGGCAATTATATGCCTATGAGTTATGTCATTAATAGAACGACTACAAGTCTAGAAGTACTAAGGAAAAACTTATTAATTTGATATTATTTATATACTGATCACAAAAATATTCAGACAGTCCGCACTTATTTGAATTTCTCCACGAACATAAAATGTTTATTATTTATTTGGTTAAAATTGTCTGAATATATAATTTCTGGTATATTTATTCGTAAATAATGACGCATTGGACAAACTTTTATGAAGGAAAGTACAAAATGAAAATAATTGCATTTTTATTGCCCACAAAATATTCTGACATTCCTTTAATAGTATAAAAAAAATCGTTTATAAACAATTAAGGCGCTTTTGACATGTTTATACGAGTCTCGACATACATCGATGCAATTAAAATGGGTCGCATAAGAAATAAACCAAGTTTCTTTGACTTCCGACAGTTCATAATTAATTAAGAAAGCAAACTAAATAGCGTAAAATCGCGGACAAACTAAACGTAAAACAAATACTGTTAAACAGAATCCCTTCAAGCTGAAGTTGGAAAATTTACGGGTAAAAAAGGTATGTGTTGAAACTGTTCGCCGATGTATATTTGGACGAGTGGCAAAGAAAAAATCTTGGCTTAGTAAAAAATAAGTGTTTCCGTTAACAGTTTTCCTCAGACTTTTTTTAAAGGTGGAAGGTTATTGGATGGGTTTAATATCCATCTGGAGTTGAAGTTCAACATGCTTGGGAAGGATGAACGACAAGTAAACAGGCAAAAACTAAAAGACGAAATTCAAAGCAAAAATTGGTATGCAAGAGTGAAACAGACACCCACTGACGGGGATTTCTTATGGTCTGTGGGTGTATTTCCTCATTTGGTGTGGACGAGTTTAGTTTTTATTGATGGAATCTTGGACAAAATGTGTTATTCAAATATGTCAAAAATAGTTTGTAACAAAGTGCGTCTAAAATGGGACTAAATGATAGTTGACAGGACAATGATCCTAAGCATTGTGCAGGAATGGATGCTTTAAAACTGTCCAAAAGTAATTAAAACACCTGCCCCATCCACGTATTAGAGTCATTTCGACTTCTTTCGACATCATAAATACAAACAAAATTCAGTTTAAACAGACTATTGGACGAGTGAGGCAAAATTGATTGTTTTTAGATAAAGTCGTATGTTCTATGCCCAAACGTTGTTAGAACAATTATCTAGTTTTGATGTTCTAATTGTTCTCAATTAACAAAATGTAATAAATATTCGAATATTTTTGTGGTGCAATTAGCGATGATTCCTTTTCCATTTGGTTTAATTGTTAATAAAAATTATTCAATGCGTTATTTAAAATCAAATATGACAGAAGTTGTATTTTCAATTAATTTAATAGCATACATACATAACGAACATTTCATATTGATGGAAAAATTCAACTAAGCTTCTGGTGTCCGAAACTGATCGTTAATAAGCGACATACATGTAGAATAAATCCGATCAGATTAACTATTCCAGCTTTAATCCACCAAAGAATATGGCAAGATACGTAGACCGGCATTCCGAAAACTTGTCGACTTGTCTTTTCTTGTTAGGAATATTTGTTGCCACTTTGCTGTGTGGTGGAGAACATACAAATAAAACCATTGCAGATCTACATTTCCAAATATTATTGTTACTTCTACTGTTTTAAAAATATCCCTCCATTTAAAAGTTTGCCGCCAGTCAAAACAGCAGTATTTGAAAGCATTGTTTCATAAAAAGCTTTTTGCCGATTATTTTGAATGCGCCATTAAAAGCGATTTGATTCATTCATGATTAGGAGCGTAAAATAAGAAAGCTCTTAACAATGGTAAATACCGCAACATTTGCTCTATACAATGAACTTTCACACTAAAAATAATTGCCGTAAATAGCAGCTATTTACTATGAATGCATTTCATTAATGTACCATGAAAAAATTATACATTGTCCGGTAATTATAAAGATATATTTCCGGGGGTAATAAAACTTCAAAAATACTCACCCTGCAGCAGCATTAGAAATCCGATACACACAGCCAAAATGCACACGCGATTCATCTTTCACTTTTGTATGTTTGTTATAAAAAATTTAAAATTCCGAAACCTGCACCTACATCAAATCAAAGAATCAGTGAACTGTAAATCACCCGAACAATAAGGGAAAACCGAGCACGGAGTTCTAGTACTAAAATATTTGGAACCCGAACGTAAAACGAGTGAGTTCTTATTTCTTCTCCTTCACGTGGTCAAGTTCAACTAATATACTAAAAACCAGAAAAGGCAGGTGCTGCGTCCGCCGAGAAACGATTATCTTGAATGAACCGTTCTGCTTTAATGTTTGTCGTGTTATGAATGAAATCATGAAGAGTACCTGCGATGGTTTGGTTTGGACTACAGTGCCCATGCATATGGAAGGAGGGTTGGTTACTACGTCGCGTGCACCAGAACAGGGTGGGGTAATAAGGGTAAATTTATTGAATAAAAACGGGATTTTATTCTATTATCTAGTTCCCGTTACCACTACTGGCTGCAAATACAATTACAATTGTTCTATAGTAGATTTTGCGTACAACTTGATAATCTGCTTGCTAAAAAAACACATGTTTCTGGTGAAAATGAGGGCATCACGATTATTATTTTATTATGGATATGCTAATTGATCAGGTATTTGCACTTGAGGTTGTCGTCCGGCAGATATTTTGATACCTATCTAATGGCAAGTATGTGCATAAAAGATAAAAAAATGTCAATTTGTAAAACTTTATGGCAAGAGAAAATGTATTTTTTCCCGGTTTAGAAACGTTCCTGTGATAAATGATGGGGAATAAACAAATACTCATGTAATAACTGAAGACAATATGATACCGATATTTCTGTCATACCTGATTGAGTTTAGCTCTGAAATATAGAAGTCGTCTAAGCTAAGCGCCAGATCCGTTTATGGTTCCATCGGTAAAGTGATAGATCCTTTTTTTCTAAATATGCTTTCTAGTTTCATCTATTACTTTCATAGATTTCCGCATGAGCCCACATCTATTTGCGTAATATTAATGAGCTAGAGTATCCTACTAAATACAGAAAACTGACTCACAAACATTGCGTTTTTAACTTTTCACTGTTCCACATTTACTTTCAACTAAGAAAAAGCTGATATAAAAATGCATCCTCGTTAAAATGATTATATCGAAACATGTATAATCTCAACAAATTAAAATTTCCTGATTGGTAATCGAAAAAGGTGCCTTCTCTAATAGCAAACTATAATGAGCAGGCAGTGTGCTTTTCTTTTTGCTTCCAATTCCTATTTAAAAACTTTTTAAAATTGCCCGGTCTGGAGCCGAAACCCATTTCGAAATTAATTGGTCGATCTCTGCTCTTAATCTACTCTTCAGAAAATAAATTTTAGTGCAACAATGGCAGCAGGTTGAGTAGACCCTGATTTCGCAATCTTCGCTCTTTTTGTTCTGTGCTGTTTGCTAATTTATTTGATAGGTATGGGGTAATATATGGAAGTATCGATTTTTATTTGGCGTGAAAACTATGTACTTTAGCCAAGTTTCACTCCTAATTTATGGGAAAATAGCTATATACATTTGGCATACAACAGGTGATAATCTGTGCTAGGCTAAAGCTAATGAAACGGAAAATTCGTTTAATTAATAGTGTACTCTCAAGTTAATGTATTCAATTAAATGTCTGATAAAAATTTAATTATGTGCGTAGTAGAATTGCTGCTTAACTCGACAGAAGATTTTAAATTGAACTCACAAAACTATAAACCTTCTTGCTTATTAAAGCTAATGGGGAAAAACAGACCAGTGGAACCAAATAATTTAACGCATTTTCTACAACGAGCACGATCCGGTTTGGGTGTCTTTTTTGTTGAGTCCCTTGTAATTATAAAGTACTTTTAATGATACGTGTCTAATCCAAATTTGTTTATAATAACATTGTTATTTTATCAAAAATCCTTGCCGTTTTGTTTGAGTGATTGGTACATTTTATCCGAATGTCTTCGTGTGACGTTGAGGGACGGAGAATTTCTTAACATTTTAAAGTTAACAAACACAAGCAACACAAGTTTAAAACACCCCTTTACACTGGAATTAATTTAGTTTCGATCCGGATATTAGACCATCATTCACTCTTATTTCTTTTGACCGCAGAGCAACTTGGTAGACAATACACTGCTCTGCGAAAACGGATATGGATGGAAGGAAAAATATATTCAGTCGATTTCAAAAATATATTTGTCTTTTGCATTCTAATTTTCATTTTCATCATATAATAATATGGAACCTGAAATTACAATAGTAATTAACACTTGGTAGTAAAGCTGAAATTTACCATTGTAAATCTTCATGACTTAATCTGATGCTACTTGCTCATTTGGTTCGGTCAATAAAAATTGAATTGCAAGAGTACCCTAATCAAAGTTTATTTAAACACCTGAGATTAAATCAACTTGGAATGAGGTAATTTATTAATTTATGAGAACGTTCGCAAAATTGTGATAACAAATTGGGACGTATTTATTTCGGCATAAACTCTTGCATCAGTAAACAAGCTATTCGACCAATATGTCAATCTGCTTTAATAATAGTAATAATAATAAATGGAGCATTTATTATTTAAATGTTTTATCAATAAATTAAATGGCAATCAGAATGCAGAGTAATAAAATAGGTAGGAAGATCTTTAAAATAATGCAAAATCAGATACATTTTAAAAACTTATTGAACTAAAGTAAACTATTCCTCAAAATGGTGAGTTTTTCGGCTTCTTAGACCATTTTCGTTGCCGATTACAAATACATTTCTTTCGAGCAAACTACTTCAGAAGACGCAAGACACTTATGCTTGCGAAACATCAGGAAAAAATTCTAAAAGCTCGCCAGTTTAAAGTAAACTAATTTAATACTGATAATATAAAAATATAAGTATTGAATATTTTCTTTCTTTTATTTTCCTGGCACCTACTTATTAATTTCTGTCTCTACACCGGCCACTGAACGCTTTGTCAGTGTTCATGTCAGCACCGCAAGGAAAAAAACGAGAATTACAAATCGATCACAGGGGATATAAATGAGGGAACAAAAAAAAAATGTCGACATCATTGGCAAGTAAGCAAAAAGACTTAAAGATGCAGCTCATTAAGAAGACACGTATTTGCACCTCAAGAAGACGATAGGTGAAGTTCTTGTGGTGTTGGTTTAAATAGGTTTAACACCCAAGAAGCCTCAGTTTTAACAAGTTCATAAAGTAAGTTTGATTATTAAAATTCTAAATTTCACGTACAAATAAAACTGAGGTCGCTATCTAAATGGTTTCATTTTCATTGCCATTAATTGTTCTGTTGGAAACTTTAATATTTGCTTTGCTAAATAATTGAATTGGTCTTTTCATATTTAAAACACTTATGTGAATGGGTCCATTATAAAACGTAATACCAAAATTTTGATTAAATATTTCAGAAAATGTATATCAGTTATCAACCTGGTGTCGTGGTAGCTTCTCCTGTTATTATCTCTTTGTTGGTATTAAATCAATAATGAAACCAAACAAGTATCGCAAAAATTTACTACGCTAAAATCAGATTAATATATAGATTGGAACATGGTTTACGTTTTTTTGGAAATAAACATGAGTTGAGGTGAATACTGCACTTCGTTTTCAGTTTGGTAAATTATTCTATATATTTTTCTCTCATTTTTAACTCATTGTTTTATACGGTTTTATCTCGACTTCAAAACTGGTGACCAGTTGAGATTGTTTCTTTTTAAAATTTGATTATCTTTAAATGACTTGTTCTGAAGAATGAAATACATTTCCAAACGCTTGTTAAATAACTCCAGTGTTTCCAAAGACAACAATAGACTGATCCAAAAATTCATTGTTCCAATTCCGTACAAGTATTTCCCAGATCATAAAATTCGAAATTAGAAAAAGCCGAGTAAGTCTCGAAGTGAGCAGTGTATAATCCGTGAAATACTTCGAAATCACGAACCGAAACTTCATATAACAATATAACTGGAATTCGTATCTGTAAGATGTTTTTTGATTCCATCAAAATGTCTATGGTTCTTTATTCAAAAAACATATTCTCTGAGAAAAGCTAACATTAGGATAAGAGGTGAATTGTTATGAGCCTAAATAAATACTACAAATCTCGTATACGATTTATGTTTATTTTTACATAATATATCGCTTAATGTGCTTGTGGGAGTGTCTTTTAAGCGGTTGCGAAAAACGACAGAACTTATATCTTGAATTTTAATAAGTCCACAAGGAAAAAAATCCTTGCTCTTCCAATCTTCAGCCTGTTATGTATACATATTCTAATCTTGTAAAGATTGCGAGGTAACAAAACACATTTTGTCGGGAAGTCCGAAAACTACGTAGTAAAACAACAATATATCGATTCTTTTAGAGGAACTACACTTGTGGTTTCGGCAGTACGAATGGTTGGCCTTATTTGCTGGGTTGTTTGGTTGGAACTTCGTATTTTGATGTTCATTTTCTATTGACAGTTTGCAAGCATTACGACCACGACATTCAAAATACGTTTTTATGAAAATTCTGCATAAATATGTACAAATAATTATTGTCCTGGTTCATAACTTTCATGTTCTTGTCTGCTCCCTACAACTCTATATATATTATTTGTTTATTCAGATCACCCTGAAAACTTGTAGATTATACAGTATTAATCAGAAAATAACGTTTACGAAGTTATTCGTTGTCACGAGTACTTGAATAACAATAATACTTAAAACTCCATTTGGCCTATGAGCAAGCGACTTGAAAAAATAAACGTTGAAAAATAATTGAAAATTTTCGCTTTTGTTCATATGTTAACGACGTTCAAACCCTCAAAATGCTGTGATAGTGTAATCAGTGTTGTTCGTAATCTTGGCTATTATGAGCATTTTATTGTAAATGATTGCCGATAAACCCCACAGTAAAGTATGAAACCAATTCGAATTTGCCTTCTGTTTGGACCGAATATCTTTTTTTGCCTAATGATTTCTTTCTTATACTTAACTACTTAAAATACTTACTTATAAAAATCGCATGAATCAGAAGTACTATGTATTTCATAATTTTCTAAATTAAAAAAAATATGATTCGGTTTGGTGAACGGTTTTATATACGGAGTCATTTAGAGGGGAGCTTAAAAAAAATGCCTTGACACTGTTCCTTCCTCCTTCGAGAAAACTATTCAAAATTAGTATGCAATGCGAACTCTCAAGCGCTGCTGCCCACAAATTAGGCTAGCGATTAACGAAAACGGAGTATATTACTATTGCATTAAAATTCACAATTCGTTGCCATATACTCCAAATGCAGCAATAAATTGCAGGCAGCAAAAATATGTCGAATTTATATAGTAATTGTGAATACTGAAATAATGAATCATCGATGAACATAATTGACACGTCCGCCCAGTGCAAACTTTCCACCGAACATTTGGAATTTTTTTGTGTGTTTTAATAGGCAGAACAGTTAAGTTCCATAATTCAAAACGTTGAAGCATTGTATTCAAGCTGTTGCCTTCATGTCCATGGTGTTTGATACTGATAATTTTCAATCAAGAAAGAAAACATTTTGAAAATAAGTAAACTCCAAAGTATTAAGCAAAAGTGCAGCTTTTCTTTGCATGTTGCATATCAAGTTTCTACACGTTTTCCGTTAAAAAGTCTATAACTTAACTAAAAGAAACTTATGTAAGATAAATTCTTGAAAATCCTGGAATGAATATTGTGTGTTGAACTATTATTGCTACTGTTTAACAGTTTATGCTTGAATTTGAAAAGGTTTAAGCAGGTAAAAAGAATCTTAACACACTAATCCCAATTCTATTTAAAATACCGACATCCGCCCGATTATTGTGTTACTCGCTCTATTCGTCAAACTTTATATTCAATGAAAGAAACATATGGGGAACTTGAAATCTGCTAATGCTCGACAACGATACCTGCATATGTTCCAATATGGCTCCAATGTTTGGAATTTCTGTAACAATGATGACCGTCATACGATTTGGTTGTATCGTTTTCGATTATTTTAACACATTTAATGATTACTCGGAATCTGATATTTTACAGTAGTTTTTCTTAAAGTGCTTTGATTGAATGGGATTCCGATTAGTTTGCCACAGAGTCGAACCGATTACAATTTTTATTCATAGCAGATCACTTTCAATAAAGGAAATAGGTATTTAACTTTAACTTTAATAGCCTTGTTGAAAATGGTTACAATAAAATGATTCTAAATTTATAATCTGGCAGCCCTGGATACCTTATCGTATACTTCAGGAAATGCCTCTTCACACTTGAATTTTCTCCTAACTTTATCATACAACGTATGATCAAACATTTTTCTAAATTCCTCTTTCGTCATATTGGTATCAGCATACAGCATTTGGAACCTGAAACCAATAGATCGTCTCAACCGTTTGTCGTGATTCAACGTTGATTCAATATGCAAATTAAGTTCATGTTGTAATTAGCAGAAAATGCATTTTAAAATAAAACCGAAAGCGTAATTGCTAACCTCCAGAACCTTGCTTCTCTTGATTAATTTTCGCTGAAATTGCCACCCAAAGCGCATTTACGGGGGACGATCGTTTAATATTTCCAACTTTATAAATTTTAAAACGTATTTTGCATAAAATTGTGTAATGCGAAGGTAAATTGAAAGTTAAAAATAAACTAGTATGAAAGAATGTTTGTATGTATTAACAGGAAATAGTGAATCCAGTGTAAGTTTGAGAAAAAACACTTCTGAGGATGTAAGTCGTCTGTGCTTGCGAAACGTTAGCAAGAAATTATTTTCTACGACTGCTTAAAAACCTGAAAACCAATCAGTTTTAATACTAGTAAGGATACTATGATTTTGAGCGTGGTTTTTCTTTCTATATTTGACCCTTTGGAAAAATATCAACTTTCAATAAAGTTTGAAAATTTTTGACTGTTGCCTAGCCACTGAATAGTTATCTCTCAATTTGGATTATGTTTCTTGTTGAAGCAGTTTGATTTCTTTGTTCTTCCAGTTCAATATATGTAATTGTTTCTTCTCTTGATCTTGATTGAAGGTCCCACGAAAAGACTTACGTGCTATTAAAATGTCAACGTTTTTCGGTTCTTTGCAATATCATTTTTGAAAACCATCCAAGCCAAAAAATCAAAATGTTTTATTTTTCATTCCACTAAACTTATGAAACTGGCTTGCTTGAGTTTAATGATTAAAATCACCGATTTAATAATGGAATATAATTTTTGAAGCACCTGATCTACTGCTGCCTTTTATTCAAAGTCAAAATCCACGACAACAAAAACGAGTAGCTTAAAGCTTAGCAACTAAACGAACTTGTCCAATATGAAACATTCAGAATAAAACAATCTTCAAATATAAAATTAATTATACGGTTCTGCGAAAGAGGAACTTATGCATTCTGTTGCAAATAGTTGTTTTATATGAAACAACAGAACATTTTGTTTTGAAATATTAAGTACTGCAACGGATCGGCACAGATTTTTCAATTCTTGTATATAAAGCGGAAGCGAATGTCAGTAATGTATTTCTTCCTGCATATGAAATCTCTGTTCCAAAAAGTAGTATACGTATTTTCGCGGCAGTTTTTAAAATGAAATATTGCTTTAGTTGCTTACTATGTTCAGAATTATTGGTTGCAATGTTTCTGGGTTATTTTCACAAAGTTAACTTAGTTTTAACATAAGAGTTAACTATTAAATTCAAGCAATTTTTTTTCTGGCTGCAATCTGCTTTATTACATAATTACAATTACCTAGATACAAAAAACAACTAATAGTTTTTTAATCAAAAAGCTACTACTAAATTGCTCTAATTATAATGACAAAAAAACTTACCCATTCACTTTTGTAACATATTTCTCAATCTTCTTCATATCTTCAAACGCTCTAAAGTTTTTCACTTTGGGTACACCATACAATCCAATATCAACGTACAAAGTCTCTTTACGACTTTTTGGATAAACCATTCCAGGATTATAAGGCAATATAAATGGACACAACCATACGGGATATACATTACATGTTTCTCTGAATATGTTTAAGCTATTTTTAAGAATGTCTATTGGGACTAACATATCTTGAAGAACGTGGTTGTTAGAGTATAGTTTTTTGATGGCGTCAGTTTGGGTTAATTTTAGCAGAGATATCTTTGGGGGAGTCAGCCAACCAAGCAAAAGTCGAAAAAATTTATTGTTTCCAAATGGAATTATATCCTGAAATTAAAAAAAACGGGTTGAAACTGTATATTGTTATTAACGAAAATTCGATCGGTTTGAGAGCCTCAGTTGTCAATCGTTTTTATTGAACTTTCATAAATTATTCTCTAATACATTATTTGCTTACCAAAGCTTTTTTGGTTGCAACCATTTTGTGTTTTGTCACTTTAAAAGAATTGCAGTGCCTACCAATATAATGTAAATGTTATTTTTTATTACAAATTTGTCCCATTTAGGCAATAAGATTTTTGATTAATTTTGCCATTTAATTTTATATGGGTATACTAACATAAGAAAAACAGCGATACACCTTACAAAAAGAAACGAATTAAATTTCATAACATAGTTAAACTAATTCCCATCGTGGCATTAAATTATAATTATCGCCATGTTTTTGGGTATACCACATTGAATATAGATAAGATTTTATGAAAGAAGGTTCCAAAGACGATATCATTTATATAGAAGAATAAGTCGTAAAAGTGAACAATATTCCGACAATTTATGAGTAACTAAATGTTCTAAGAGAAGTGGAATGCAAGTCCCGTATCTTATCTGCCCCAAAATAAACTTCCGAAATTTGTATTCTTCATTTAGTTTTACTCAGTGTAAATCTCAGAATTTCCTTATGTCTACATGAAATGGCTGGGCGAGCGGCCGGAAATGTTGGGTAGATCGGTCCCAACATTCCCAGCAAGTTAAACTAAGTTGAATCTTTTCACTTTTCATGATGAAAATATTTGATCAAAGCAACGCCTCGTAAACTAAAAACAACACACACTAGATAATTTCGTCTATTATTTGGCCAAATTATCTCATATCTATTAGAGCTCAGTATAAGAAACCATAGAGCATTTTAATTATTCTTAATTTAGAAATTGAATGCCTTGCGTGCAGATAACGTTTGATTGAAACCGTAATAATTCAACGGATTTCACCAAAAAATTCATTGGGGATAGGAAAACGCTGGCGTATGTTTTTCAATTGCCAAATCCGTCTTGAGATAGTTAACGGTTAATAGATTATAAGATAGAGAAGATAAATAGAAAACCCCGTATTTTGTTATAAAATAATTTAATATTTGTAAGATTTTTCGTTTACAGCATCTTAAGATACATTTTGGTCCAGCAACAAGAAAAATTACGGAACTTTAAACCATAAAAAACGAACAACATAAACACTGAATTCGCCTGAATAAAATATTTTTGAATAATTGAAACATGACTTACCGTTCGAAGTCGAATAAAGTCCAATTTTGTAACAACCTTTAGTGATATTTATAGCTCCCTTGATACCTCAATAAATTGTATCTTTCTCAAGGTTGACAAGGCTCTTATATAGATTTAGTGCTAGTATAACGTACCTGTAACTCCCAGAAAATCGATCTTGTATGGCGGTGGTAATAATCCCTGAGGGGAATATACTCTGTAACAGTTGAGTTTATCTTTAATATTTGCATCACGTGCATAAAGAACCATGGTTTGTACCATTTGCCAATTGCATTAATCTGAAAATTTGATCAAGTATGAAATCGGCATAATGGGATGAACATGTTTGCTTACTTTATCACTTTCCGCATTATCAGTTTGTACTCCTGTCATAATCACTGCTTCATATTCACTGTAAGCTATAGCTTCGACAAATTCATTATTTTTATCTGTACTGACTGCAGTAAATTGTTTGGCAATATTTTCCTCTCCTATTACAGGCAAATAAGTTATTTTTACATATTTTTTTGCGGGAACCATCATAATTTCGACAGCTGTAAGCATTCCCAAAGTGCCATAAGACCAAGGAACTGAATAGAAAAGATCTGAATTGTCTTCCTTCGTGCATTTTACCAAACTTTCATCGGAAAGCACTAATTCATACGAAACGCAAATATGTTGAAATAGTCCAAATTTGTGAGAAGACGATTCAATGCCAGTGCCCATGACCAAACCTCCGACAGTTAGATCATCAATTTCCGGTAAAACTGGTATTGTCCAACCCAATGGATTAAGGGTTGCACTTAACTGTCCCATACTCACTAACGGCTCTACTCTAACGACCTTCAAAGAAGAATATTCAAATAAATGAAGTATTACATTTAGGAATGTTTTTCGGGCTTTGAAGCCGTGGTCTATCGTAATTTCTTACTGACGTTTCTGGGCTGCATAAATACGACGGGGAATCCAGCTGTTGAATCAAATACAGAGGACCTGCTGGACCACATCCGGAACCTAACGTCA